TTGACGAGTATCTTTACCAGGGACAAATAGTCCGACTAGGTAAGTCCAACTTAGACCGAGTGGTCAATCGACGGATTCAACTCGGCTGGGCAGCGTTCGGGAAACTACGACACATCTTCTCGTCAGACATACCTCAAAACCTTAAAACGAAATTGTACAACCAGTGCGTGTTGCCAGTGATGACTTACGGATCTGAGACGTGGTCCTTCACTGCTGGCCGTATGAGGAAGCTCAAGGTCGCTCAGCGAGCTATGAAGAGGGCTATGCTCGGGGTTTCTCTGCGTGATAAACTTAGAAATGAGTATATCAGCAGTAGAACCATAGTAACCGACATAGCCCAACGGATTAGTAAGCTGAAATGGCAGTGGGCCGGCCATATAGCTCGAAGAACCGACAACTGATGGGGTAGAAAGGTTCTTGAGTGGCAGCCTCGTACCGGTAGGCGAAGTGTAGGGCGACCCCCCACTAGATGGAGTGACGACCTGGTAAGACATGCAGGAAGACGATGGATGCAGGCGGCTCAGGACCGTGCTTTGTGGCAATTCTTGAGGGAGGCCTATGTTCAGTAATGGACTTATGAAAGGCTGTAATGATGATGAATGATGATGTGGTAATTTTTTTGGTTATTTTAAGGCTTTTAAGCTTTTACTATTTATTCAAAGTAAAATTTAATTTTTTTGAATCTTTGAGTGAACTAAGAAAGTTCAAAGTAAACAAATAGACTATGTAGTCTAAATAGTCTCATTAATAGTTTAATAGCTATTTTTACACCACTAGAGGTGAAATTTTCCCTTTAAATTGATATGAGACAACCCCTGAACTATGGCATATTTAATAAAAAACTTTATTTTATTCGGTTCATAATTGACGAAAATATTGCATAACATACATACAAAAAAATTGGAAAAAAAAACATACGCAACTCTGAATTTGGAAGTTCGTCGTCAACTTTAAAGTCTTACCCCGCCACCGCGACTGGAATTGTTAATCACAATTTTGGTTGCTGACTCTTTATTGGTAGTGATGAAAAATTACGTGAAAATTAAATTATTACCGCCGCCTATGAACAACTGCAACAACAGGGGAATCGCAGATGCGTTGCCAGCCCTTTAAAAAGGAGTACAGTCTCTTCTTGAAAGTCCCTAAGTCGTATCGGTCCGGAAAAATCTCTTGTGGTAGTCGATTCCACAAGGAAGTTGTGCGAGGAAGAAAACTTCTTTTAAATAGCACAGTAGTGGACCGCCAGTCATCCAGATGGTAGGGATGGTATCGCGAGTTTTATCGCAATGTGCGATGGTGAAATTGTGCAGCTGGAATTAGTCCGAACAATTCCTCAGAGCACTCCCCGTGATAGATGCGATAAAATACGCAGAGATGCAACATCTCTTCGCAGTGCCAATGAGTAAATCCGAATTTTTTATACAATCACAAATTGTTTTGTTTTGATTAATATGTGACACATTAAATATCATTTAGAGAAAAAAAAATTATCGCACAGTATATTATTTACAGAGTAAAGGGAAATAAATATCATTGTCACTTGACGATTGTCTTGAGAAAACGTATTTATTCAAAAACATTATGAAGCATCTTTTAATACTACAGTATATGAGTTACAAAATTATACCAACATGATTTTTTACTAATGCTACATTAGAATTTTAATAAAAAAAACTATTATCCAATCTAAGGATTACTGCAAAACAGATTAAAGTCTGGACTGTGATCCTTTTTACATTTTTATGCATATATATTTTTTATATAGTTAGAAGTTATAATTGAAATATTTATTTAGATCTTATTTTTTATTATACAAATAACTCGCTATCAAATCTTACTTTTGAAGTTTGTAACAAAATAAAACTGATAAAAAATGTCCAATGACTTTGATCTTTCTTAACAGAATTTAAGTCTAACTTAGCACAAACCAAAGATAGGACACACTAGGGTAGTTTTAAATCATAGGATACAAAATTATTAATTTTATTACTTATGTAATGATTGCGTATAAAAATGTTGAGTATCAGGCTTACAAAACTTTTTTAAGCATTGCAAATCTTCATATTTTTCTTTAGAAATTGGAATGGGATTACTATCGAGGCTTTCTATTCCTTGTTTGTCAGGTATAATCCAAGTGCATTTTATATTTGGTCGACTTCTTAATTCTAATCAGCTGTGATGTTTTCCTTTTAACTTCATTATATATACTACTATCGTGTATATTTTTCACATATCCAAAAACAGCGGTTTAGTTGGTAAGATACTAATTCTATGGGTAAAAGGGACATAGTCCATAGACAATGATCTTTTTAAATACGTTTTTTGAGTTGCATGTGTACAATGATTAGTTTTAGCTGTTTTCGGTTTCATAACCAAACAGCTTTGTAAATTTTGTACTAGATGCCATTGTTATCCCATATTCGGAAAAAATGGACAATGATCTTTCTTTCCCTGTACCCTTCATTTATTTATTATTTTATTTATTCTTTGTTGTTATCACCGGTTTTTACAAAGGGCTGGCTCAATACTTTTTGGCAATATCCCAAAGTCAACCGCGAACATGTTGCATGGTGGATCAATAAGTTTTGGAAACGGAATGTAACTCTAGGATAAGTATACGTTTATTTTATTTAGTTTTCAACGTAATTGCCTTTTAGTAAAACACCTTGAATAAAGTTTCACAAGTTGATTATTTCCCTTGAGAAAAAAAGCATGATCTTGAGACACGAAAAAGGCCTCTACAGTATCACCTCATCGTTGCCGTCGAATTAAACCATGCAAATGCTTTTTCAGTTGAGTAAAAAGATGAAAATCACTCGGAGTTAGGTTCGGAGAATATGGTGGGTGCTGCATTAACTGAACCCCCCAGTTCGATGAAAAAACACTCCATCACGCAATTTTCCTCGACGTTTATTCTTTAGTTATTCGCGTAGTTTTTTGATTGATGATCCGTTAATAATCCTCGGTTATTCTTTTATTATTATAATCTTTTATATTACTTATCCGCATCCCAGAAGACAGAGGCCATTATTTTGTAGCAAACGCAGACACGTTGAATCTATTGGCTGGTGGAAAAAACGGTATTTTCAAAAGCATGCTTTGCTTTTTCGTCTCCAAATCAAAATGGTTTACCCATGTTCATCTACGGTTACGAAACGAGCACAAAAAGGATGAAGATCTTCTTCCATTATTGCTATGAAATGTTAGCTTTAAAATGTTAAGTCTTGCTTTCTTTTGGGCGTCTGTTAACCCAGCGCGCTGCCACTTTTTTGTTTTTTAAGGTATGAGTTAAAATAAACTGAATTGTCCCAAACGAAATCTTTAGAATCTCAGCTGGTCGATCTATCTTAAAAATATTTCGTCGAGTTTTTTTTAACGTTTTCTTGCGTAGCGGCCCTTGTTTAAATTCAGCGCACTAGAATGCCACTGTAGAATTAGACGGAGCATTGACTGTCAAAGTAGACTGCAGTTCTTCAAAAACACTTTTTGTAGAAAAAAATTCAGGCAGAAATATTTAAAACCGCACGAACTTCAAGTTTGTCCATTTTGCATACTCAAATTCCCGACAAATGTGAAGTTTGAAAAAAATAGATGTAGTTTTTAATTTAATTTTCTCTGGCTCTGGCTACTAACGGACTTAAGATTCTAAACAAATAGAACACACACATATATATATATATATATATATATATATATATATATATATATATATATATATATATATATATATAATACGTGCCCTATTCCGAAAACTTATTGATCAACCTGGTATACAATTTAATGGAAATATTTTTTTACTTATTTTTTTTATATTAATTGTTTAACACAGTTTTAAAAGGTATCAGGGTTGAATGGTAGAGAACACTATAAAGCATTAAGTCTGCCTTTATTTACCCACAGTAACAGGTGTTTATATATAATAAAGATTTTAAAAATAATAAATATAAAATGGACTCTCACTAATAATTTTATTAGCTTAATATATAGACGACTTACATGTTAGGGACATAATTTTGAATCTAATAGAGTCGTCGAAATGCTAAGTAGTATGTCATAGAAAGTATGATCGAGAAAAGTTAAATCACTTTTTAACGTAAATATTTACAGAAAAGAATATTTAATTAAAAAAGTTTAAAACTTCAGAAAGTATTTGAACTTCGTAATTGCATAACTTAACATTTAAGCGCCCATTAAAGTCACGACGGAATTCCATTACTTTAAAAATAAACAAAAAAAAAAAGAGAAATCATCATTTCTTTAGTCACACTGAGACGGTTTCTAATTATTAAAACTTTTTCTTTATCTAATAATATGTACACACTTGCTTTAATATAATTAAAAATTACATCTTAGGTATAGTCTATTTAGGCTTTTCTTCACTAAAACTGATTGATTTCTCAAGATCGTTACCATTATTTGTTACACCGTTATTTCTTAAATCTATTTTCACCGGCTTGTTCCCTTGTGTTCCACCCTAAAAAAAAGGAAATTAAACATTAGGGTCAATATTCAACATTCATCGTCATTATAGTGTCTCACAAGCACATAGCTGGACGTAGGCTACGCCAAAGAATGCCGTAAAAACGGTGCTGAGCCACCTGCATTCATCGACTTCCTACATGTTTTACCAGGTCATCACTCCATCCAGTGGATTATCTGTTATTATAGAAGTTAATGGGCGTATAATGATGGCGTAAGAAAACACAGTGGGTGCCGTGCATGGGTAGCAGTATCTTCCTTATAGTAACAAAAAACAATAGAAAACTGCAAGTGCCAATACGCCCACCAAGCATGGCAACTATGGCAAATGTACGTGGCAATCAATGGAAAAGAATTTTGTTCAGCAGCAGCTTGTTCGACCTTTGACAGGTTGCAGTGAATGATAGAACCATTGAATGAACTTAAATTACTTATGGTGTAATTTTAATCTCGATATGGAAAAATGTCTTAAAATGAATGTTTTTTTTAAACAAGTTGAAAATCGATAATAGTAATTTACTTTACCTACCTTTATCTAAGAGCATTTTAAACAGGGTTGAAAACGGCATGTCTATGAAAATCGTGATTATTAAGGCAATAATCATCGAAAGGGCAAAGTAAGCACAGAAAAGAAACATCTGAAAATAAAATAAAAAAAGAGATATTAAATAATAATTTGTATAAGAAATATCAATAAAAAAGAGTATAAGTGAAAAAAATATCAAACGCTTTCAAACTGAAACCTGTATTTGGATAAATCATTAATTAATGGTCAATAAATCAATTATTGGTTGTTTGAATTGTATGCTATACTTGGCTAATACCGTGTGGTGGCGGCTTATGAGAATTTTTGGCCCAAATTCATCCCACGGGTGTTTTAATGTTAAAGGCGTAGAATAGCCGGAACGGCGTCGATATATCGATCGCCGCGTGCCAAAACAATTATGGCAAGTCCTTCTGACTTTTCTACCGACTTCAAAAAGGAGACGGTACTCAATTCGACTGTATGTTTTTTTTTTCTTTTTTTTATGTGTGTATTTCGATGATTCTTTTTTATTTGAATGCTGGTGCTTCTCATGTGGTCCCATATAAATTGATCAAGGTCTGTTCAATAGTTTTTTAGTTACTCTTAATAATTTATATTGAAGTCGGTTGTACAAAGTTTTTTATTTTAAATTATAATCAAATCAGTTCTTAAAAAATGTCGAAATAATGATGGTGCTCGTTTCTTCGAGTCATTTTTTATCACTACTATTTTAGAAGTACCTAGTCAGGTCATAAATTCTGATATAAAAGATAAAATAATTAAAACAAGTTTATTCATTATGTAACCATTTATATACCTAAATGAACTTAACAAAACAAAGATTCTTATGACACTAAAGTTTATTCAAAATGACCTCCGTGATTTTGAATACAGGCCTTCAATCTGTGCGGCCAGTCGTCTATCGCAGCACGAACGAGGTCCATGTCAATATCGGCGGCTGCCTTAATCAAGGATGTCTTGAGTGACTCCAAATTGGGATGAGGCTTTGAGCACGCCTTTTCCTCCAAGTGTTGCCATATCTTGTAATCCAACGCATTCAAATCTGGACTGGAGGAGGGCCAGTCTTCGTGCCGGATGAAGTCGATTTCACGCGCCGCCAGCCAGTCTTGTGTGCTCTTCGCTCTATGAGCTGGCGCCGAATCTTGTTGGAATACCCAGTGCCTGTTATTGAACATGGTATGAGAAACAGGTTCCACAAGTTTCGTCAGTACTGTATCTTGATACACAACTGCATTCGTTTTTACACCTTTCTCACAAAAATGTACCTCTGTTAAAGAAACTCCCGACCATACCATGAGCGAGGATGGAAAATGACCTCGTTGGACACGCGGAATACGGTTGCTCGCTTCTTCACTACTGTGTGCGTACACCTTATCATTTTGTTTGTTGTAGGTCTCTTCTACAGTAAAAATGTTTTCATCCGAAAAAAGAATTTCCCGATATTTTTTTCCCGCGTACCGCTTCAACAAAGCGCGGCATCTCTTCAGTCTCAGGTCCATTAGACGACCATTCAAACGATGTTCTGTTTTTCTTCGATATGCCCGAAGCCCTAAATATTCATTTAACACCCTTTTCACCGTGGTTCTGCTTAACCCCATCTGAAGGGCCAACAGTTTCTGCTTACGTTTGGGATTTCTTTGAATTCGCGCCTTCACAGCTTTTATCACTGCTGGAGTCCTAACAGACCAAGGGCGACCACTTCTTGACCTGTCATCTACACTAGAGTCTTCATTGTATCGTTTGATGGTACGATAAACGAATCTTTTGGTTATATTCAAATTTTTCAGCATGTCAAAAATTTGAATTGGCGCGTAACCGCAACGACGCAACGCAATAACTGCAACACGGTCTTATTTAAGCGTCCACTCCATATTTAAAAATGAGTAAAATTCTAAAAAGTATACAGTTTTATTTTCATGAACAATTCGAAATTCGAATTCAATAAACTTTTTTGTGGCCAGCATTCTAAAAGAAAAGTTTTTACTGTGTGACAATACTTATGACCTGACTAGGTATATATGCGGTCGATTACATGTGCGTTTGTTTCACATAAGCAGCGCTGATAACTTTTGATAGTAGATAATTAAAAGGAAAGAATGAAAGAATATGCAATATTTATTGGCACCGCACACAAACCGAATAAATTATTAATTTTAATATTAACATGTCGCGGTGTAACGTTAAATAAATAAGAGAATAAATGAATATTCTCATACCGAGAGGCATTTGAAACACCTCTTATTATACTACCAAACTTATGTTTCTTTGCTTCCTTACATTTATTTATTTCAAAAGCTTAAATGTAACACCTTAAAGCTAAGGGTACATAGGGCAGATTTAATGCAATGTCAATTGCAAAATTTTCTATTTCTTTGTTAACGTAATCATAACACTAACTGCTGGCCCAATTTCGACAAACAGTTAATCAAGTGTTATTATGGACATATTTTAGTATCCAATGAAATCAGTCCGACGTCGATATAATTAATTGTTCTCGAGATATTATGCGAGACGAATATTAATCAGGAACGCATTGCACACAGAAACAAACTCCTAGAACCATAACGTACTATCTATACATCATCATAACTATATATTTCTAGAGATCTTGAAACTTGGAGATATGGCAAAATTTAAGCTTTGGGATATCGGACTATTAATTGCATTAATTTGTACTGGTAAGTTATACAATCGATTTTAGTTTCCTAGTATCAAAATATTATCATTAATTGCATTCTTTTAAATCGTTAAAGATTAATAAAAGACAAGTACTTACAATATAAGGCACGGAGAAGTAAATCGGAGCTATTGAGCTAGAGTTCACGATGACCATCAAGGAAAAGTGTAATATATACATAGCATAAGAAAGCCGTGCAGGAAGTTTCCACAATCGTAGTGATAGAAACCAATTAATGGGACCTGTTGGTTATTGAAGAATATTTCAATAACTTTGAACAAAAAAAATAAAAAAGGTAATAACAGAAATTATGCAATCGTAAAAAGTTCCTCTTACAATGATTTCTTATATTTGCGCGAACACTACACATTAAAATAAAACAAATTTTACGGATTTGAATGCGTACACTTTACAGCACCCATGGTCATTGGGGGGGGGGGGGTATAACGTCCCAATGTCATTGTTAACCACGGCTACCTCCAGATTAAAAATTATTAAGTTTTGTTCCGATCTACGCAGTATGAACTTACAGTATCTTGAAGTCTTGCAGTTGTATGCTTGGGTTGGGATTTAATTTTATTAATTATGGTATCCCAAAAAGATGGTATCACCCAGCCATCTTCTCTATTGAAATTAGGATGTTTTATTTAATCTGGAGGTAGCTGTGGTTAACTATGAATATGGGACGTCATACACCTCAGTCACGTGACCGTGACTGTAAAGGGCTCGAAACGTCGGGAATATAAAATAAGTTAATATACACGATAAAATACGTAAAATTAGTTCTATTTAAAAGTTTCTCTTATATTTTACAAATTAAGCAACATTTAAATACACATCACACTTACCTCCATATCCATGTACACAGGCGAATATCACCCAGCCTAATCCTAATGCCCAAGCCGGTCTCATAAATGAGTTGATTAAGCTGTCCACAGTTTGGTTATTCCAATCTATCTGCATTGTAGGATGTATACAGTACATGGCCAATGCAAGTAGCGACAACGACAATGCCCACAAGATGAGATTCAACGCCTAAATGAAAAAATAATACTTAAAAAAAAAAACTGTACAGAATATTTCTATTCGAAAATATTAAACAAGCCTATGATTACACCAAAATATTCAGTTTTTAGAAGACCAATAATATTAACAAATTGCAGGAGAAATTGAACTTTTATAAGTTAAAAATATATAAAATATGTTGTTCCCCTGTTTTAATGGTATATAGACATTATTACTTTGCTATTGATTACATAAAATAAATGTTCATATTATGTGTGATAAAATGAATTTCCACAATCTAGGTCTAAAATATCGAAAAAAATCCGAGCTAAGAAAATAGTGAATATAGCTTTTAGTTAAAAATTAAATCTTAAAAGACTTATGTTAGAACTCACTGTTGCTATTTCCAGTCTCTTCCCACGCCAAATGTGCAACAAGTATCCGAACATCATGCCGACGAAGAAAGGCGGTGCTCTTGTTAGAGTATTCATGTAATAATAGACTATATAGTCCAAAATTTTAGGACCTTGCCTAAAAATTAATATTGTCGTATTTAATAATTAAATTTATATCGTACCATTTTTAGGCAATTAGATAAACACAACAAAAAATCTTATGATTTTACTAATTCTGATGTCATCAAATCTTTGACAGTTTCAAGCTAATCAATCTCATTGAGAATTATTCAAATTATTGTCATATAATTTCGGAGGTAGTTTACAGGTTTACAGGAATACTTGAATCATAGTTGTTTTAGTGTATAGTTTAGTTTGGTTTTGGTTTATATTACTTTAAAAATTCACGAACACCAAGTGCTGTTTATTGTAAAACATAAAGATATATGAAAAGGCCACGGTAAATCTAAAAATATCAAATAAATCTTCATTTGATTTCAAGATCCTTCGACTATATATTTAAAAAAAAAACTTACATAGCAGATATCATTCCAGTTGGAAATTCATTTATAAAGTTATAAATTGTGGCGGCAGTGATTGAAGTTACAACTCCTGCAGTCAAAGCGATCCACGCTATTCCTTTATTTCCACTCAACACCCAAACTAATATAATTGGCGATAGAATGTGAAGCTGAGTGTCGATAGCGAGGTACCATGTTGCTCCAATACACTGTAAAAAATTCATGTATTTTATAAAAATTCCAAATACAACATTATACTCGGCTCGCGGCCTATATCAGATCAAGCTGTAGAAGCCAACATCACAGAATAAAGATAACGATATACTCGTATATTTCAGAATCACTTCTCTTTTAGTTTAGTAGCAATAAATTATATTACCCGGTTGTAGTGCTCAATTGCTAACAAAACATGACTGACTTTTTCAGTGAAATTTAATTTCTAATTACTTTATGATTAGCATTTCTTAAGGTTTCATTATGACGTTTGTAAAATCTAAAGTATACCTTATTATGACTTTACTTAAGACATCCATACAAAGAAATAAATCATTACGAACAACTTGTAATACTGCAATTGTGTAAATATATTGACAAATATCGTACCATGATGTGACTAGGTACTGTACCGTCGCATTCAATAATAAAGAAATCTCTATTGTTTAATAACCATGCATGTTATAGCGATCTGCAGCGATCTGAGCGATGGCTAATTTCTCCACCAACTTTTCACTAAAAATTATATAAGAACGTTAAGAACAAAAATTGTTATGATGACTGAGATGGTCTGAGGTTCTAAGGTAAAGGCCTTAAATTATTACTTTAACATTTATTGCTACCACTTTAATCGCTTTTTTCATCTTCGATATCGATAAGCCTACTATGCGAGCAATTATTATTATTATCAATATAATATTATCAGGTAACCAGCGATAACTGATAAGTCGGGTAAATGACCGTATCTTGCTATTCTCAACTAGCTTTTCTTTTCGGTCTACAGAAAAACACCGGGGAAACCTACGTCATTAATTTATTCAATTAATACACCCTAGCGAAATTCCACGGCTAAACTTAGCCATACTTGACACGTTTGACAGGCAGTCTTGGTAACCGCAGTTTATTATTTTTCATTTAATTTAGATTTAATACCTACAATATGAGCTCTGGGTATAATTTTTTAAAGGTTGGTGACGTACTTGATTTCTTCTAGTGATGGGCGGTGATCACTTAACTTATTTTGAGCCGCATGCTCGTTTGACACTTAGAGCTACGTTGATTTTAAATAAAACGACTTTACAGGTAAAGTGTTCATTTTGAAGATATTTTATCTAACTAGCGGTATATTTACAAGTTTTTACAAAAAAGACTCTAGTACATCACATCGACTCAACAATAACTCGAATGGAAATAAGGCATAAAAATGTGAGCTTTACATAATGTGACCTAATGCTAATTGTTTTTTTTTTGTGTGAAAGCAACAAGACAAGTGATTCGCGCGTTACCTATTCATATGGCCCGCCTACCACTCGGCGTTTACGTGCGTTGCCGACTTATCACGTTGACTGCGTGCTTACGATTCGTAGGTAAAGTGTAGTCCGCGCGACGTGCAACTTCTGTCCTGCCGTTCTTTCGTCTCTTTCTGTTTTTAGCATTTTGACAATCGTTTTCCGTCAATCTCTATACGTCAACTTCAGAACAGGCTGCGCGCTCGCTGCGCTCTCTATCTCAATGTTTTTTTTCGTGCAGATGGTTATGAAAATGGAACTTGTAGCATACTGCCGATATATAAGCTTGTTAAAGACGTGTTGTCCATTGGTTAACATCGTGTCTCTGCGTCGACTAGTGAACGCTGGGTTGACTTTTTTTATAGGATAGGGTGACAAACGAGCACACAGTCCACCTGCTGGTAAGTGGTTGCTGCGGCCCATAGATATCTACATCTATCCTCGTTTGCGAATCAAAATGTAGATGCGTTGTCACCCGTGAGGACTAAGATGGAATGCCTTTTTTCCAGCAAAAAGGGTCTCCGGTATTCTACACTCACCATACAAAACACAGCAGTGTGAAGCTGCTATTTTACGCTCGTGTTCTGTGAGAGCGTGGTCATTCCCCAGTCGAGCCGACCCATTCGTGCTACAACTATACTACTTATATAGCTGCAGCATGGCTCTGCCACGTAAAACTCTTGTGGACGTCGAGCTGACGCGCTGAATCGCAAGTTCCAGTTAAGTTGGCGTTGAGTCGATATGGTGTGCTTTGGTGTTAATGGTGACAAACGAGCACCATACGAAACACAGCAGTGTTAAACTGCTATTTTACGTTGGTATTCTGTAAGAGCGTGGTATTTGCCCGGTCGAGCCGACCTATTTGTGCTACAACTATACTACTAATGTAACTTTACCATGGCTCTACCACGTGTAGAACACAGACGAGTTGTCACCCCTGAGAACAAAGATTGAATGTCTCTTTACCAGTGTAAAGGGTCTAGGGTTCTCGTTACTTACATAACATTGAAAAATACTTAAAGTACTTACAATATTCCGGGAATTAACATAGTTTTGTATGTGCAATAAAGTTGACCACCAGAAAGTTCTACATCTGTGCGCTTGTGAAATAACTGTATCCCACACAGGCCCATCGGAAACGTGATTAAAAAGTGAAGCCTCTAACAATGCAGTTGTAGCCAATACAGGGAACATACGTAGAAGTCGATTTAGGTAGAAAAAGTGAATGTTTTTGAGAAGACCCACTAGAAAATCAAATAAAAGTTAAAGTAGTTCAGTAACGAGGCGCTAGAATCACATATTATAACTATTGTTTTCATTGTAAGGCAATGCTCATGGATGGCCATTACAGGGGCATAAAAGGTTATTTTGGACTTTTATGTCTTTTACTTCCATTGTACACTCATATTCTACCTTTTACCGTGGTGGTCACCATCGGCGTATAACCAGAGTGCCGGGATCTCCGCTCGGAACGCAACCGAAGCAGTATACCGACTCCTCACGAATCATCCGACCGTCCGACGATCCATCGAATGTCCTCGAGTAGAGGAATGGTTCACAAGCGTTCGACCAAGGTCACCCGGCGACGGTACGATGGTAAATAGGCTTCTTAGAAAATGAGAGTTTACTGAGTTCGTCAGCTAGATGGCATTACTATGCAAACACATACTAGTACTCTAAGTACACTTAAACCTAGTATGTGCTTGTAGCATTTTCTGCTTAGGTAGGCATCCTCCACTTGGTTGACGGTGGAGCCAGAGACCAGATCCGCCGCTGGGGCTGGGAAAGCGGGTGCCACTAAGTGCTCGATTTTCCTGGCCGAATGATAATACATTCATTAAAGTTGAATAATCTAAAGCTTTCAAATAAAGTGTAGGTATGATACGCGCACCACCTAAGTTAAGTGTACTATGCCTCCAACCTTCAAGCAAGTGCAAGCAATAAGTTGACAAAGTTTAACCGCAATCTGATGAACAGTATGGCAGTGTATAAAATACGAACAATCAAATATTAATTTTTATGTATTAGAAGATTACAAAGTTTCAATCCACTTTCTCAGCAACATTACAATTTTAAAATGCCATGGGGCTTGTCCATCTTGTTGAGATGATTAGTAAATAAAATATGGATATTCTTATAACTTCTTATTCTAAGCATTTGTGAGTAGTTTTATAAAGTTTTGAATTTCTATTTTTAATACCTGATGTTAATTTTCCTGCAGTAGTGTATACCACCAACAAACCACTTAGCATGAAAAACGTGTCTACGGCAATATGTCCAGCTGTTACCCACAACGCCTCGAGGGAAATCATCCACTGTAACAATAGAACAACCTTGTACATAAATTTACGATTATATTCTAATATTTCTTGAATACTTAACATAAAAAAGTTTATTTCTACGCGAAGTTTTATAAAATGTAGCGGTGTATGGCAAACTATCACTCCACTTTGTACTGAGTGTTATATAAGTTATTTTCAGAATTACCTCCAACTCTTTAAAAATGACAGCCGTTGAGGATATCTTATAGAGAATTAACTGAAATTAACGATGAATGGGTGTCAAGTTACGAAGCATACTCTAAAGACCGGAAGAAAATTTTGCATTCCGAGGCTTAGGGGTCGCACGATCATTTTTGAATACAGGAAATTGCTTCCTATGATTGGAACAAAGGCTATCTGTCCACAGGAAAGGTTTATAGGTATACTAGCCAAGATTGGTTAACCACGTTGACGAAGTGGTGGTAATAAATGAAGATATTTCAAGATTTTAATTGTTGAAGTGAAAGCTTCTTTTGGCACGTTCGTTCTGAACACTGAACGAATGTGAACCGTCACGCTCGGGTCGGTGACGCTAAATCGGGTTTACTCGACTCCACTCGACATCACGCGCGCTTGGGTCGGTGACACACTGAATCGTGTATACTCGAATCAAGTCTTCATCAGCGACGTTTACTGTTTGTTTTTGTTATTACACTAGCTGTCACCCGCGACTTCGCCCGCATAGAATTTACTACGATTTCATGGGTTTTAATTTTTTGCGCGTAACGCTAATTCTTTTTCTAAAATAAATGTATCCTTAGTTACTCGTTATAACATCAGCTATCTGCCAGTGAAAGTCCCGTCAAAATCGGTCGAGCCGTTTCGGAGATTAACCGGAACAAACAGACAAACAAACAGAGAGACGACAGACAAAATTTTTAAAAATCGTTTTTTGGTTATTAGTAACGTATATACTTTCACAGGAGTTTATGAAAAATCTGTTATTTTGACATTATTAACAGACACTTCAATTTCATTTATTTATATAAATATAAGATACTCAAATCTATCGCACTATTCTGTACTATTCACTTGTGTAGTGTAGTCATAAGCACACACTCAGTTTTTATTTATTAAAAAAAATATTATGCCCAAGGTAGGATTTTTCTTGTATTAGTGAGGTATCTTGGAACGGCTCGACTGGGGCAGGACCACGCATGTGCAAGATACTTTAATATTACTATTTAGAAAAAGTATTACCTTCAGTTTCATTGAAATTTAACGATTAAATAAAGGTCGTGTATAACAATTTACTTTATTACGACACATAAGCATCTCAAAAGTTATTTCAGGGACATTTTAGCATTCAACCTCGGTGGAATTATAATCAAAATAAAAATTATTCTCCAAATACCTTAACCGGCGACGGGAAGTACCGCCTAAAATATTAAACGTCTCGATCTACGATCACCAATTCACCTCAAACAAGTGGTAATATTAAACATTTTGTACAAATGACTTCAAAATAAATTATTAAGGATATATATATAAACTACTGGTTAGACCTTGATCAAATTTATATGGGAACATATGAGAAGCATTAGCTTTCAAAAAAAAAATCATCGAAATCGTTTCACCAAGAAAAGAGTTATGAGGTAACACATAAAAAACATGCAGTCGAATTGAGTACCTCCTTCTAAAAGTCGGAAGAAAATAATGAGTGATTGTGATTGATCGAATATGTTATCAGTTCTAGTTTGGATAGATGGACAAATTTGCTTCACATAAGTATACATAAGTTGATAAGAAATAAATTACTTGCCCGCAAAGATTCCAAAGGGTTATATGTGAACGATTGTGAAGAAAAACTGTGTCCTATTAGAATCCATATCATTGCTAAGGCTCTTATACCATCCAAACACTCCAAGGCACCTGGCCTAGTAGAAAAGTTTAAAAGGCGGCTTGTATTACTGTATACGGAGAACGACCGGTAAAGTGCATTTGCTGATTTTGGATCTGCAATCATAGCGTTGATGATAAGAATAATGACATAAAGGAGTTACAATAAATAATATTTAATAAAGTATATCCCATGGTTTAATATTTTTTAGCATAATATTTTTCGCTTTTGTTTTACGTAAATCACTTTAACTACTATTACGTCGACAATTACGATGGCGTAAGACAACATTTATTGGTGTGTAGTGGCGGTCAAGAATATCCACTACCCCATATCTTCTCGTGGGAGTCGTAAAAGGCGACAAAGGGAAACAGGCAGGAGATGGGCAGCAGCATCTTCCTGATAATAGCCAAAATTACAATAAAAAAACTGCGGTTGCCAACCCGCTCGCCAAGCGTGTCAACTATGGCAGCATGATGAAGAGAGTAACAAGGAGATGGCACCCAGTCCCTGGCGGCCCCGCTATTCCTGGCTACGGTGGCGACCATGGTAACGGCGGGGCAGGGGGTGCTAAGAATCTCCGGTGGAGGTTCGGTTGCCACCTTAGACGTCGCGACCTGTCAACCTACACCGCACGCACCCTGAGGACTGACGAGAAGATCGTGGAGCTGGAAGAAGAGATAGACAAGTTACGCTGGCATATTATAGGATTATCCGAAGTCCGAAGAGAGGGGGAGGACACGGTAATCCTCGAATCCGGCAACTTGCTCTATCACCGGGAGGGCGAACATCTGTTCCAAGGAGGGTTCGGATTTATCGTCCACAAGTCTCTCGTTAATAACGTTGTAAAGATCGAGAGTGTGTCGATGAGGGTTGCGTACCTTATACTCAGAATCACCAAACGGTATTCGCTGAAGGTCATACAGGTTTACGCACCAACCTCGGCACACCCCGATGAGGAGGTGGAGGAAATGTATGAGGATATCTCTAGAGACATGCATTCCTCCAAAACCCAATATACGGTGTTAATGGGAGACTTCAATGCAAAACTAGGCACAAGAGAGAACGGTGAGCTGAAAGTAGGGAAATTTGGAATAGTGCAACGGAACCCAAAGGGTCAGCAGCTGGCCGACTTCATGGAGAAAGAGGGACTCTTTATTCATCATAAACTCTTTCTTCCAGAAGCGGTCCCACAGGAAGTGGACCTGGTCGAGTCCCGACGATTCGACAAAAAATGAGATTGACTTCATTATGACGACCAGACGACAACTGTTCAGTGATGTCGCCGTGATCGCGAGTGACTAACGTGACTGTCGGTATATCGAAGTGCTGAAGTGCTTGTACAGTAGGACTACGATGGCTATCCGAGTACAAAACCAGAGTACGAAACCTATCTAATTGCAGAGAGGTGTAAGACAGGGTGACGATATATCCCCGAAACTCTTCACCGCTGCATTGGAAGTCGTTTTTAAGCTTCTGGACTGGAAAGGATACGGTATTAACATCAATGGCGAGTACATCACTCACCTTCGATTTGTCGACGATATATTCCTTATATGGCAGAATCGCTGGAGGACCTAAGTACTATGCTCAATGACCTCAAAAGTGTCTCCCAACGGATAGGTCTTAAGATGAACATGGACAAAACAAAGATTATGTTTAATGTCCATGTCACACCTATGCCGGTAGTTGTTGGGAGCACTAAGCTCGAAGTTGTTGACGAGTATGTTAACCTGGGACAAATAGTCCGACTAGGTAAGTCCAACATCGACCGAGAGGTCAACTGATGATTTCAACTCGGCTGGGCAGCGTTCGGGAAGCTACGACACATCTTCTCGTCAGACATACCTCAAAACCTTAAAACGAAATTGTACAACCATTGCGTGTTGCCGGTGATGACTTACGGATCTGAGACGTGGTCCTTCACTGCTGGCCGTATGAGGAAGCTCAAGGTCGCTCAGCGAGCTATGGAGAGGGCTATGCTCGGGGTTTCTCTGCGTGATAAACTTAGAAATGAGGATATCCGCAGTAGAATCAGAGTAACCGACATAGCCCAACGGATTAGTAAGCTTAAGTGGCAGTGGGCCGGCCATATAGCTCGAAGAACCGACGACCGATGGGGAAGAAATGTTCTTGAGTGGCAGCCTCGTAGCGGTAGGCGAAGTGTAGCGCGACCACCCACAAGATGGAGTGACGACCTGGTACGACATGCAGGAAGTCGATTGATGCAGGTGGCTCAGGACCGTGCTTTGTGGCATTCCTTGGAGGAGGCCTATGTTCAGCAGTGGACTTATGAAAGGCTGTAATGATGATGATGAAGACAACATTAAATATTATGCTATGTTCCCATATCATAATCTTGGTGTATCATATCTCCGACGCGTGACATAGACATAGACAAGTTTGCCATCCACCTATCCGCATTCTTGCTTGAAATATATAAAATATATTTCTTTTTTCTACTTACCGCTTTTTAAAATGAAAATGTGATTTATTTCGTAACACGTGCTCATGATACATAAGAAACCGATGAAGAAAAATAATCCTCTGTAAAACACAAAAAAATACACGAGTATTATTTATTTTATTTTAGTAGTAGTTATATTAATTTTATTTCTAGGAGAGTTAGAATGAAGTGTCATTAAGAAGTAATAATGCTATAAATATATATCAGAAAAGCTTGCTCGACCAGTATACAGGTCACTGTTTTATATAATAATTATGTCCTCGTCGATGAATAACCAATGAAGTGCCATTGTAGCTGTTGTGGACTATTCGATAAAATTTATATTTTACAAGTGGAAATTATGCTCTGGTACGCATTAGAGGATTTTACATGCCCTCGAAATATTATTAATTTCTCAAACGCATAATTGTCCTCTTTTAAAAACAAACCCGAAATGACAAATGAACTCAGAGTCCATCTGATGTTGTGTGATTACTGCATATACACCCGCAATCAACTTCAAGCAAAGAAGGCTTCAGATGCATTTTGCTCTCTGAGGACTAATATACAAGCCAAACATCTTGTAATACTCACGATATTTTCCTTTAAAGTCAATCATCTTGATAATCAACACTTACAATCATTAGTACTCCTTTAGCAAAAATAACAACTATATGTAAAATTCCTCCCTTTCCCTTAAATCCTTTGGGAGTAAAACTGCAGATCAAATAAAATTCACTTTTAACATTGTTTTAGTATTATAAATACATAACTTACATAGCGGTGTAGTCTGCAGGTACCCATGGTTTATCGTTTGGCAGGCGGCAAAAGTCATCTTCATACTGAAATCCTATCGAACTAATATTAAAAAGCAGTTCAGATATGGCTTCCTGTGTAGTGCAAGGTTTTGGAATACAAACAGCTAATCGAAACACTGAAAACTGTAGAGGATTGCCAGGCCCCGACCTGCAAAGAGTATATTTTACTATTTTCAATATATGTATATTATGTTACATAGTATAATATATATTTATATATAAAAATTACGTGTCACGTTGTTTGTCCGCGATGGACTCATAAACTACTGAACTGATTTCAATGAAATTTTGCACACTGTGTGCAATTTGGTCCAACTTGAGGGATAGGATAGTTTTTATCCTGATAAGTGACCCTCAATTTTTTTATTGCTTATCTAATCTCAGAAGTTTTTTTTTTAGGAAAGTAAATGGTCGTCGGAAAGGGCAGAACAACGTCTGCCTGATCAGCTAGTATATATATATAGTTACAATAGAGTTCACGTGGTAAAGTTACTTTGCAGCTTTATTATAGTTACAGCACGAAAGGATCGACCGAGGAAGAATCACCCTCTTATAGAATACCAGCATAAAATAGTAGCTTAATGCTGCTGTATGTTGTGTGCTTGTTTATTCACTCCATATATGTGGAAATCTCTTTTATACTTATACACACATACATATATATATATATAAAATATTTCCACCTATGTACTGACTCATCACGATATCTCTAGAACCATAAGTCCTAGAGACTTGAAATTTGGTAGGAATAATCCTACGAACGAGAACGGATTTTACAAAATTTCATCCGCAAGCCCCCCTTTTTTGGTGATTAGTGCAAGAAGTACCTACATATATCAGATGTCTAACTTTTCCTACTTTTGCCTTTTACGACAATTACGGTTATGGATTTTAGGAACTATATACTATTAATATATTAAGCTAAATGGAATTATTTTTATAGTTCTTTGATAACTGAATACTATAGAGCTATTAAAAAAGGCGACATGAAATATACTCGTATTAATCAAGGCTTTATTAATATTTTCCTTTTTTATAAAATTAGGAAAAGGTCGTAAAATTATTACGAAAAGTTAACAAAAATACCTTATTTCATTCAGATCAGCGCCAAATAGCGCCTTTAAGCCATATCTTTTGTAATCGTAATCTTTTAACTTGAATATAACATCCTCGTCCATACGCAAGAAGCTGGGATTAAAATTTAACCATCTTGGAGTAGTAAAGTTTAGCAGAACCAATTCTTAGTTTAAAGGAACTCGTATCATGCAATATTTGCCCTCAATAGCTGTATCATTAAGAGGTAGGTTGATTTTCAAACATTGGTGGTAATTACCTAAATCAATTGTATTGCCATCTAATACACCTCGGGGAGTTCTTATACCAGCATCTAAAACTAATTAAAAAAAAACAATTATACTACTTTACGAGGGTTTTATTCAATCATTCATCAATATTTTGTACGTGGTGCATAATGCTGCTACAGTAGTTCGTGTGGTGAGTGACGTGAATCGGAGACCCTTTTTACTGGCAATAAGACAACTGACCAACCAAACAACTTAATGTTTAGGGATGATAGATATATTCGTAGTTTGATTCATATTCAAGGCTCTAGATGTAGATGTCTATGTGTCATAGAACCAGTATTCACTTACCGCAATGTGAACTTACAAAGCCATCATTATGGGGCTTAGCAGTCGCCATAAATTTCACAGTACGCGAGATACCCAGTTCTGATCGCCACTGACACCGATAAAAAATTGAATCGCAATTGTAAGTGTTGATTTACCATATGATAGCCGGTAAAGAAACTATCGTAAGGAAACGTTCTTGTGTGAGACTGACTATATACCGCTCTATATAACCCTTTTTAAAATGATAGGTGGCCTGTGCCCAACAGTTTGACGTATATAGGCTAAAACTTTAACACATTACTTTAGCCAAGAATGCGCTATATTGAGTATATCTGGAAAGGCTCTAACGTCTAACACAAGAGGCAAAAGCAGTACATACACATCATTAATTAATAATTATTAATAAAACAAAAAAATGTGCGTCAAGTAGGTCTCCAACTCAGCATAATGTTGCAAAGACTGCGCTGGTTTTCAGTTGAAGCCTTGTGACTGCTTTGACAAGTCAGCGTGTGATCTTCTAATTAAGAGATATTACGTGTTAAATAGTTATCTATTAATAATTACGAATTCGAAAGTAGAGCTAAATGGACAATACACATAATATATATACACTACTAGCTACTTCAACGCAAAATTAGGCACAAGAGAGAACGGTGAGCTAAAAGTAGGGAAATTCGGAATAGGGCAACGGAACCCAAGGGGGCAGCAGCTGGCCGACTTCATGGAGAAATAGGGACTCTTTATGACGAGCTCTTTCTTCCAGAAGCGGCCCCACAGGAAGTGGACCTGGTCGAGCCCTGACGGTTCGACAAAAAATGAGATTGACTTCGTTATGACGACCAGACGACAATTGTTCAGTGATGTCTCAGTGACCGCGAGGGTGAAAACCGGCAGCGATCACCGAATGGTGAGAGGCACACTGAACCTAAACTTAAGTTGCAGAGGTCAAGTCTAATGAAGTCAACGCTCCGTCCGCCTCGTGCTCTAATCCAAAGTCCCGAAACCTTTCAGCTCGAGCTACGAAACCGTTTTCAGTGCCTAGAAGATTGCAATGCAGTGGACGATATGAATGACAAGCTCGTGGAAACTGTCAATGCGGTCGGAGCTAAGTTTTGCAAGACCCGCCGCAGAAAAACACAAAAATTCTCCGATCACACTCTTAATCTCATGGTTGTTAGACGAGATATGAAGCTGCAGTCTTCAGTAGATATGACAGCATACAGGCAACTGAAAAGACAGATCTCCAAACGCATGCAGCGGGACTTACGCAACTTTAATACTGCTAATATTGAAGAAGCGATCGAGCGGAACTAGGGCTCCAAAGTCTTTGCTAGAGATCTGTCAGCTAGAAAGAGCCAACTGTCGAAGCTGAAGACCGAGTGTGGCAGCATCGTTTGCGGGACACCTGCAATTTTGAGTGAGATTGAGAGTTTCTATGGGCAGCTGTACACATCATCGTTGGAGCCACACATAAGTGTGAGTAACGATCCAAGGGCGAGTCTTATCCAACACTATTCCGATGATATCCCGGACGTCAGTCTGAGCGAGATTAGGATGGATCTCCAGCACCTTAAAAACGGCAAGGCCCAAGGCGAGGATGGAATTACAGCAGAGCTTCTGAAAGCGGATGGAAAACCGGTACTTGAAGTCCTTCAGAAGCTCTTTAATTCCGTCCTCAATGGTGGCATTGCACCGGAGGCGTGGAGCAGAAGTGCGGTGGTCTTGTTCTTCAAGAAAAGCGACAATGCTCTCTTGAAAAACAACAGACCGATTTCTTTTTGAGCCGCGTCTACGTGCTGTTTTCGAGAGTCATTACGAATCGTCTCGCGCGCAGACTTGACGACTTCCAGCCTCCCGAATAAGCCGGTTTCCGAAAAGGCTTTAGCACCATAGACCACATACATACCCTTCGGCAAATTGTACACAAGTCCGAGGAGTACAATTTGCCACTATGTCTGGCGTATGTGGACTATGAGAAAGCCTTTGATTCCGTCGAAATTTTGGCGATGCTGCAGTCCCTTCAGCGATACCAAGTTGACTGTCGGTATATCGAAGTACTGAAGTGCTTGTTCAGTAGGGCTACGATGGCTTCCGAGTACAGAACCAGAGTACGAAACCTATCCAATTGCAGAGAGGTGTAAGACTGGGTGACGTTATATCCCCAAAACTCTTCACCGCTGCATTGGAAGACGTTTTAAAGCTTCTGGACTGGAAAGGATACGATATTAACATCAATGGCGAGTACATCACTCTGCTTCGATTTGCCGTCGATATAGTCCTTATGTCAGAATAGGTCCTAGAGGTCCTAAGAACTATGCTCAATGACCTCAATAGTGTTTCCCAACGGATAGGTCTTAAGATGAACATGGACAAAACAAAGAGCATGCTCATTGTCCATGTCACACCTATGCCGGTAGTTGTTGGGAGCGCTAAGCTCGAAGTTGTTGATGAGTATGTTTACCTGGGACAAACAGTCTGACTAGGTAAGTCCAACTTCGACCGAGAGGTCAATTGACAGATTCAACTCGGTTGGGCAGCGTTCTGGAAATTACGGCACATCTTCTCGTCAGGTATACGTCAAAACTTGAAAACAAGATTGTACAACCAATGCGTGTTGCCAGTGATGACCACGTCTCAGTCAGTATGAGGGAGCTCAAGGTTGCTCAGTGAGCTATGGAGAGGGCTATGCTCAGGGTTTCTCTGTTTGATAAACTTAGAAATGAGGATATTCGCAGTAGAATCAGAGCGAGCGACATAGCCCAACGGATTAGTAAGCTGAAGTGGCAATCGGGCGGCCATATAGCTCGAAGAACCGAAACGAAAGCTCAAAAGACTTATTAAAAATTTAAGTAGTTACAAGGTTATTGTGGCATATCTTTCCTTGAGTAGTTAGTGTTTAGTAGGACGGTTGTTACACAACCAGTGCGTGTTGCCAGTGATGACTTATGAACCTTCACTGCTGGCCGGATGAGGAAGCTAAAAATCGCTCAGTGAGGTTAAGAGAGAGCTGTGCTCGAAGTTTCTTTGCGTGATAAACTTAGAAATGAGGATATTCACAGTAGAACCAGTGTGAACCATAGCCCTACGGATTAGTAAGCTGAAGTGGCAATGTGCCGGCCATATAGGTCGAAGAACCGACAACCGATGGGGAAAAATGTTCTCGAGTGGCGGCCCCGTACCGGCGGACGAAGTGTAGGGCGTCCCCCCACTAGATGGAGTGACGACTGGTAAGATATGCAGGAAGTCGATGGATGCAGGTGGCTCAGGACTGTGCTTTGTGGCATTCCTTGGGGGAGGCCTATGTTCAGCAGTGGACTTGTGAAGGGCTGTAATGATGATGATGACAACTAGCTAGCAAATATATAAGTGCTATATATACTATATATTTTAATAATACCTACACACATACTTATACATAAAATATTAACATGATATTTGACTCTATGGGAAAGACATCTTATACTATTTTTCATAAAAGTAGACAATTTAATATTCTGTAGTCAAAGAGACACGCCGGCTACGACTTGCTGGATTCTATAGAAAAGAAAAAAAAAGAAAAGTAAGATTAAAACTAACAAATAACAAATAATCACTCATCAAATAACAGAAATACATTAATAATCAATAATATCTATTTGAATATAAATTAAAAAGAGTCTCGAAGAAATATAAGTATTATTACCATTTTACGTTCGAATCAGTTATTACGTATTTTGTACTTGTACCAATTAATGCTACATTAATTTCTTTTTAAAACTATTTAATGTTTTTAGGAATTGAATGGGTAAATAGAATATAATAAATACAATAAAAATGCGGTATTACGACGGTATGTATTGCAAAAACAAATCTCTGACTCGAGAAGCTATTATGTACATATATACAATAATCACGCCTCTTTCCCGTAGGGGTAGGCAGAGACCAGTTCTTTCCACTTGCTACGATCCTTACATACTTGTTTTGCTTCGTCACTTTCATTATTCCCTTCATACATGCTCTACGGTTTAGGGTACTCTTGACCTGGCCTTTCTTCAAGACGTCCCTGATTTGGTCTAGAAATGTCCGCCTAGGTCTACCCCTTCCAACACTTTCATTCACACTCGCCTTATACACTTTTTTCGTCAATCGTTCTTCATTCATTCTCTCGACATGGCCAAACCATCTCAGCATACCTTTCTCAATTTTTGTTACTACATCTTCTTTCGGACCACAACGTTTCCTTATCTCACTATTTCTTATCCTGTCACTCAGTTTAACTCCTACCATACTTCTTAATGCTCTCATCTCAACTGCTTTTATTCTGCTTTCATGTTTCTTCTGCCATACCCAAGTTTCACTTCCATACATGAGTATCGGAACCAACACCCCCTCATGCACAGCCAAACGAGCCTTGTTAGACACCTTCCGTCTGCTCATAAAGGAGTGCAAAGCTCCATTCACCATGTTTCCTGCATTCACTCTTCTTTCGATATCACTCTCACACTTTCCATCTCTTGTAAACTTTGAACCCACATACACAAACTCTTTCACCTGTTCAATTTGTTCAT